AGGCCTACACGAGATGAGGCAGGATAAAGAGGGATAATCCCCCTCGATCCCAAATCATTGAGGCCAATTTCTAGCCATAGAATAATGGCGCATTACAAGCTTTGCATTCGTCTCAAATAATGGGCCATTTACCATGTTCCCACCCAGGGTTGCCAGATTGGGCTACTTATCGCCAATTGGGCTATCTCAGATGACTTTCGGCTACTTGAAAAAAAGCAAAAATAGCCCGTCGCGCGCCATTATTCTATGGCTAGAAATTGGCCTCAATGATTTGGGATCGAGGGGGATTATCCCTCTTTATCCTGCCTCATCTCGTGTAGGCCTGGACAGCCTTCGTAGGTGGGCCNATGCAGATCCATGAAAGAACGTTAATGTATGGTTATTAAATCAAAATGGGTTTACCTTGTTCACAAATATTATCTATTCAAACGCAAATGTATCGTCTAAAAGGAAGTTAATAAAGATCTATACAGTACAATATATAAAATGCATATTTACCATCTAATAAACGATTAAAGTTATTTGGATCCTCGATTACTATTTTTTTATTATCAATTTCAAATATTACTTTGTATTTTTTGCAGTGAATCCATTACCAAATTTTTTTATTTACAACTTAACCTATCCAAACCTCTAAAAAAACGAAGTAGTGACTACTAGGTACGAAACAGAAAATACATAAACAAAGATAGAAATATTAACTTAAGATCCAAACCAACCCACAAGTCCGGTTTGATGGTTAGGCAAACTCTGCCAAACCGGGTTAACAACATTTCTCGCCAAAACGGCAAACCGCAACAAACTATAGTTAACCGGGTTAGCGGTTTTCTCGCCAAAAAACCCTTAAACATTGCTTTCAAATGCAGGCACATCTTCGTCGTCGTCCTTGACGAATAACGACCTTGACCAGGGTTGCCAGATTGGGCTACTTATCGCCAATTGAGCTATCTCAGATGACTTTCGGCTACTTGAAAAAAAGCAAAAATAGCCAGTCGCCAATTTGGGCTATTTCGAGTTTTTACCAGTGTCGGCAATCTGTACAAATCGAATGTTAGAATCCTATATTTATATGTAGAACAGTAATTTGTGCTAATAGTAAAGTTGTTGTTTGTTGTCAGTTGTACCATAGGCAAAATCTAGTTTTATAATAATATATATTTGCCCTAGTTAACTAATTATTACAGAGATGAAGTATTTATTTATTGTCAGAGAATTATTTTTGAATTTAAATCTAGTTCGACCAAGTTTCTAGATTTTATTGCGAACTGTGAACCATATATTTAAGCTGTGCATTCTGTAAACTGTTTGGATTTGGAAGTCTTTAGTAAAATGCCTAGATCCTAGGAACTTTAGCCTTTTACGAGACTTACAATACACAAACGCTACACAGACAATAAGACAAAACGCGGAGAAACGATTTGACGTAATCCCCCTCGATCCCAAATCATTGAGGCCAATTTCTAGCCATAGAATAATGGCGGCTACTAGGTTAAAAAAAAATCTGGCAACCCTGTTCCCACCTGTCATTTAATTCAGTGTGAAGAAGAAGAAGACAAATATAAACGTGACGTGGTTATGGAATGGCTTTATTGTTTACGACAGTACCGTTATGAAAATTTAGAATTTCTGATAAGAAAGGCAATAAATAAATATGCAAGCAACAATCTTGGAGGAAACATTTTGTAAGCTGTGCCTAAATACTACAAGGGATTCAAATTGCCGGGTGATAGAAGAAGTCATAAGGGATGTTCTAAAAATTGTTTTGCCGCATGTGGTAAGATCAAGTTAACAAGATTACTTTTATGTCCGTAGTGTAATTCATTTATTCTTAATTGCAAATCCGTTTCAGAATTTGGAGGAGAATGTTACACATTTCATCTGTACAACATGTTCCGTAAAATTATTGGCAGCTTTTAATTTTAAGTCGGTATGTATGGATACGGAGGATTTCATTTTTCCTCACATTAACGCCAGTGAAATGTCAGTGATTGATTTAAAGGAAATTTATTTAAAAGAGAAGGGAAATATTCAGTTAATCGACGTATCGGAAGATTGGACAATCTGTCGATTATGTTTTCAGCCGGTAACTTACGAATTTGTGGCATTAAATGAAGTGGATATTGACATAATCGATACATATATACCACAGGTTGTAAGTATATTTCAGTAAAGATCTTTTATAATTAACAAATGAATATTTCATTCTCTTCACTTTACATAATTGTTTTACATTTTGTTTTCAATAACATCATTTGTTTTTTATTTAAATTGAACATAAAGATAACAGAAAATGATCATGGATCATGGAACATAAAGCTTGCTTGTTACTACACTACCAACAATATTTTAAGGTATTTCTTAAGAAAATATGTGCCAGAAAATAATAATTTCCGTAAATAATATTCAATATAAGTGTTGTATAGACATGAAATATTTATAAAATTGTTAAATAACCTACTTACATTTTTATTTGTTATCTAAATCGTTGAAGGACATTATCGTTTCAACTCTGCATTGAATCGAAATTAATTAGCAATAATACATATATTTTTTACTTGTAGACTATCAGTGCTACCAGGGATCCTGTTATATGTAGGGCCTGCTTTGATTCGCTTCGTACCCATGGCAGTTTTTTAAAGAACTGCCTTGATGCACAGGAACGATATACAAGCGATGATAAACAGTCTTACATTAAATCTGAAGAAATTGAAATCAAACTGGAAGATCCGCAGGACTGGTAAGGAAATGTCGATAAATTTTGTATTTTTATAATTACCATATTTCTTTTTTTTGTATCTTGATAACGAAGTACGTATTTCCTAAATAATGATTTAGAAAATTTAAAAATTTTAAAAAACATTTGAGATATAAACCTGTTCTTGATTTGCAAATGCTTGTTTTGACTTGTTATCTCAGGCGTGATGCCTTTCCTTCAAACTTCTCCTTGCCCCAGTGGTCGTACCTTCTTTTTTTTTTTAAAGTATTTTTCTGTTGCCACACAAAGATGCACAACGATAAGAGATAAACAACCGAAATTACTAAAGAGTGCATCAACTGCATCAGGTCATTCATACACAATCATCGTCAATATTGCGAGGTTATTGAAGATATTGGGGAAATAACGACCTTATTAATACTCTGGCAACAAACCGAGACTTTCCTTTGTTTTGCCGACATTAAAAATTACTGATTTATTTCGGCATGCTATGTTCGCATATATGATTAATAATTTTACAACTTTTATTAATATAATTTTTTGTAAAACGCAATATTTTTGCATATGTTCAAAAATATCCTGTATATATAATTTTTCCAGCGACACGCTACCCCAGACCATCGATAATAAACCATTGGAGAAGAGTGACTGTAAAGATACAGCAGAGGAGGGATGTAAAGCTGCGAATAGAGTAAAGAAAAAGAGAATTTACATCAAACATCAGTTGGTACATAAAGATCCTTCTCAGGCCCAAATGTACAAATGTAACGACTGCGACTACAAAACTAAATACAAAAGTGGTATCAAAAAGCACCAATTGAAGCATAAAGATGCTTCGCAGATTCAAAGGTACAAGTGTAATGACTGCGATTATGAAACTAAATACAAGTATGCTATTAAACAGCATCAACTGAAACATAAAGATATTGAAAACTACAGTTGTACTGACTGTGATTTCAGAACTAAATACAAGAATAATATCAAATCACATCAACTGACACATAAAGATCCTTTACAGATTCAAATGTACAAGTGTAACGACTGTGATTACAAAACTAAATACAAGAAACACATCAATCGGCACCAACTGACTCATAAAGATCCCTTTCAGATTCAAATGTACAAGTGTAACGACTGTGATTACAAAACTAAATACAAGAGACACATCAATCGGCACCAACTGACTCATAAAGATCCCTTTCAGATTCAAATGTACAAGTGTAACGACTGTGATTACAAAACTAAATACAAGAGTCATCTCAGTCAGCACCAATTGAAGCATAAAGATGTTTCGCAGATTCAAATGTACAGGTGTAACGACTGCGATTTCAGAACTAAATACAAGAATAATATCAAACATCATCAACTGAAACATAAAGATCCTTTGCAGATTCAAATGTACAAGTGTAACGACTGTGATTACAGAACTAAATACAAGAATTATATCACTCAGCACCAATTGAAGCATAAAGATGTTTCACAGATTCAAATGTACAGGTGTAATGACTGTGATTACGAAACTATATACAAAATTTATATCAAAAGGCATGTATTGACACATAAAGATCCTTCGCAGATTCAAATGTACAGGTGTAAGGACTGCAATTACAAAACTAAATACAAGGCTAATATCAAACAGCATCAATTGAAGCATAAAGATGCTTCGCAGATTCAAATGTACAAGTGTAACGACTGTGATCACCAAACTAAATACAAGTACAATATCAAACATCACATGTTGAAGCATAAAGATTTGTTGCAGGTCTAAACATACAGATGTATTGATTGCGATGAACCCAAATAAAGGAACTGTATCATGTGTCGAAGCATACAGAGACTTTTGAAGTGATATTGTACTGGTGCGATCTGCTTGATTTACTAATTAAGGTTTGTAGGTGTGAATTACTGCCCACCGAAGTGCAAAATATGTATAGTCAAAAATGAAACTATCTAAGAGCTACAAATGTAAATATGACACTGATCATAGAGATTGGAATGTGTAGTAATACGTAACGCCTGCTTTGGCAAAAACATCGGTTGAAACACGAAAATGTTACCCAAATAAGATCCAACAAGAGATTTTGGACTAAAGTTTGTAGAAATTGCTAGTACCTACTTATGAACTGGAAGGTTTACTGCCATTACAACCATCTGCCGAATGACAAACTATTTATAATTTTAAACAACAATATTGTATACTGTGTAGACCATGTATAGAGAATGCAGTTAATAAAAAAAAATGAGATTTAAGCACGTTTCTTTTTAATAGAAAGCTGTTGAGAACTGGCTTCACTGTGTATTTACACTTAAGATGAACCGTTCAAATTGTAGTCTATCAGACTTGGGGGGTGGATGGAACAACCACTATCTAATATTTGTATAATTTATCCATAGCCAACATTTTCGAATTATATGGATGGTTTATTCAAAACATAGGTAGTTTTCGATCGTGCCTCAAATTCTAGTCGGTCATACTGGGAAGGGGATAAAACAACCAAGAAAAATTGCACCTTTTGTGATAAACGTATAACAGTTATATCAAGGCAAATCTTCATAAAATATTGTAATATCGGGAGACACAAACATTAAGACGGTCAGAATTTCAACACCATTGAATACTTTGCAAATTAGACGAATTCATTTTATTGGCAATCGTGTTACAAAAGAGATATTCCCTCCATTTTATTCAAAAAATCAATCATTTTCGAATTATTGTTCCTCTATTCCAAAAAACTATTTCACAAAAAAATGTAGGTATTGGAATTTTTTATTAAAAATACAATGGTATAATTGAATGTTCCGAAGATTCGGTGATGTAAAAATATTCTAAAAATCAATTTGAAAATTTAGAATTATATTTGCAACAGAAATTCCTATAAATTTTAAAATTATTTATTTTTCGCATAGCCGATATTTTTAACCCAATATAACGTACATCAAATTTACTGCACATATTCCGAGGTTATTTACCGCAAATTAAGTTTCTTTGGGTACATTCAACATAAATCTTGAAAACAGTTGAGATTTTGAAGTTTGAAAAAGTTCCATTGTTCTTGGTATAAAGTTTGATAAATTTAAACCTTTTATTTTTATATACAGGGTAGCCAAATGAAAATGAAACAGAGCTATTTTCAGGAACTGCGTCAAGATTGTAGAAAAACGCTGAGACCCGTCGATTTTAGATTAAAGGGGGACATTCTTTGCTTGCGTTTTTGACTCGGCCACTTTCACCCCCAAGCAAGGGGTAAGCATCACCCCAAAATATTTAAATGGCATTGGAGGTTGAGTAATATTTCTTTTGAAAGCTCTTACAATTCTCTTTACAACAGACTTTAAATTTTATAAATCCGCCTAATACTGATAAAAATGTACATTTTAAAATTTAAATTATGTTTAGTTGCTTACTTACTACTTAGTTGATTAAATGTTCAAACTGATGACCGCCCGCTTCCATACAACAATAAAGATTTTGTTCGAAACGTTCGCGCACATTCTGAAGCATTTCCGGAGTGATTCGACGGCATTCGTCGACGATTCTTTGACGCAAATCTTCCAGCGACGCTGGCTGTGTTTTATAGATTTTACTTTTTAGGTATCCCCACAAAAAGAAATCAAGGGGCGATAAATCCGGTGATCGTGGAGGCCACTCAATGCTGCCTCTTCTCCCAATCCAATTC